GGATGATTTTGTTTGAAAGAATCGCTCCTTCAACAAATTGTGTAAGGCCTGCATTTAGGATCAAGAAACACAGACACGGTTAAGCACACACATTAAGATAAATGATATATATAAAGAGAGATAGACACAAAGTACATGAGTAAAAAAATAAATATAAATCCCAATAAAAGTGGCTCCAGAAATTATGCATCATATAGTTGTATTAAAAAAACAAATAACAGTTGTCCTAACAAGCTAAATGTTCTATAATAGTAAGAGAAGAACTTATAAGTTATATTGGCTCTTGCCTAAAGTACATGTGTTAAAGCATCCTCTTGGCTAAAATATATATTTGATTTGATGAATAGACAAGATTATGAATTTCATGAAATTCTAAGGCATTATGGACAAGCATCTCAAGATAAGGCAATCTTTAGGAAGCTGAGCCAATCCCTCACAGAAGATGAAAAGGCCCCAACTGCAAACTTGTTTTCTAAAACAAGTTAATTTTTCATGTCCTATATGTCAACATTTAGCAAATCAGATGATAATACTTCAGAAGAATGCAACAAGAAATATAAGGTAGCTGCTAATGCTAATCCTTGTTGGACACATACACATGTGCCAAAAATTTGATGAATACATTACATTTCTGAAAAGGTTTTCCCAATAAATTATATAAACTTTTGTATACGACAACTAATACTTTCTATTAGCAACATGCAGACAGCGCACACTGACAAATAAACTACCGTGTTTAGTTGGTATACAGTATATTAACTAGACATATTAGAAAACTATAGATTGTACCTTCAACGAGCAGTTCTGGTGGAACAACAGCAGGAGCATACAAATTTACAAAAGTTATTAACAACATTTTCTTTTCCAAAAATAAGTTTTTCAGGGTGAAAGAGTTGGCAATAAGTTCCTGTTCTAACTTCATCAATGACACTTGGCTCAAGATTAACAAATATTGCTCTTGGAACATGCTTTCCTACTCCAATTTCACTAAAGAACGTGTTGAATGCATCATCTACAACTCCAGGTTTGGTGTCACTGAAAAAAGAAAGAAAGAGTTTGATTTATTAGCTGCATTGTGCATTGTAAAGATCTATTTGGAATCTGAGTGAATCAGGAGATTAAACTGTTGGAATTTTCATAGTCAGTAAAAGGAAAGTAGACATAATGTTCACTGTATTGCAGTCAAAGAAAGTCAACCACGTAGATCCATCGAATTTTAGCTTATGAACTTGAGATCCAATTTTGGATCACTTCAAACGCATTTAATCAGATAATTTTCCATTTCTAATGATATAAGAGGTAAGATCCTTAAATGTATGACCTAACGAGCCCTTTACCACAAATTCAAATCCATCGAGAATCAGAAATTGAAATCATAGAACAAAAACATAGTAAGAATCATGATGTAGAGGTGAGATTCAGAGATTTCATCTCTAAATATGGGATGAAGATGAACACGAGGGAGAGAGAAAATCAGTAAATAGAGTGAATAACAAAAGTGCGAGATCTAACCATCATCCTTCGAATTTGATAATTGAAAGTCTCTACCAAACAAAATCACGATGGATAACCGGCAGGAGAGAAGATTTGGTGACGTGCTTGCGTTAGGGTTTGGTTATTCCTGAGCACTACGAGAACAATTGACACGAGAACAATTGGCAGCTCCAAATTTGATATTTATTTTTCCAGGAGCGATCATAGCCGGAGAGCTGTGACAGATGCTTTGTACCGGAGACGAGCATCATCGAGAACTCCACCGATTTTGTCGAAGATAATATCACCATCGGTGAGGAATGTCATTGAGGCAGGATGAAGAGAGAGAGATAGGGAGAGAAAGGGGTCTGAACTATTTCTTTACTGAAATGCCCCTTATTCATAATAATTATGATGCCCCCGTGTCTTTTTTTTTCAAACTATTTACAAAAACGCCATTGAGCATCCTAGTCTTCTATTATTTTGATCTAACGGCTTACAATCGGTTCTCGGATTCTCGGGAAACTTTGAGTTCTCAAATGATCCTTGCTCTCTCTCTCTCTCTCTCTCTATATATATATAATATATATATATATATATATATATATATATATATATATATATATATATAATGAATGAAATTTGGGTATACATGTTTTTCTTTTTGTGACTGTTTGTAAATGAAAAACCATATTTATTAATGAGCGATTTCATATTTTCAGGGTTTTGAAAAAAAAACATATATTGTAAAGTTTATCGTTTTATGCTCTAAAAATAATATGCAATTATGCATATCAAAGTTTTTTTCTTGTATGTACTTGTTATTATTATTGGGAGGGCATATCATGAATGTTTTTGAAATTTACAAACTTTTCCAACAAGCAAGCATGTATGAAACATAAGAGCAATTTTAAAAGCCATGTTTATTTATTCAAACGATTTTAATAAAAACAGAAAAAATGTTTTTAAAGGCAATCAGTATTTATGCCCATTATTGATGTTTTAGTTGTTGGATAAAAATTGGTGTATATAAAGTATAAACCTAAAAAATCAAAGGATTGGTAGGCCAAACATGGCATAAATTCATGGGTCTATATCTTGTTGATTAAGAAAGTTAACATTTTTCAAACATTTATTCAGTTTCTTCAAAATCTGTCAACTAACACAACCATAATCAACTACACAATTCATTGCTTGCTTTTATACCCCACACCCAATCACTCTCTTTCATTTTGATATTTCAAATTTCAACCACCACATTCTCCTATTAGTCATTAACCAAATTTGGCAAAATTGATGAATTAAATAGGTTAAATAATAAGTCAAAATTAGTTTCTTTTCTGTTCATTAAAAAATTTTTTTTTTTTCCCTTGAGATATATATCATAGATACCTCTGAGCTGCCACACACACTGCCCTAACTCATGATGAGAGACAACCCGTAGTGCTCACAAAGAACCCAATCAACACTAGGATTATAACTCTCATATTGCGTCTGTCAAGACTCGAACAGTCGAACCCTCAACATTTTCTGCAAGTATACCACCTCGAAACCAACTCTGGTGGCATGTTATATGACTTGCTATTCGGTGCATGTACATTACATATTCTTGACTCTCTCTCTCTCTCTCTCTATATATATATATATAATGTATTGCACCAAAAATCATTCCATCATATTTGCTATTACAATCGAATGTCTAATAACTTAAAAGTAACCAATATACAATGAATGTATGCCGAACTGCTTGAGGCATATAACTAACAAATTCCAAATCTTTGATGTAATGCAATAACTTGCAAGGTTTAATGGTGGCCCATACGTTACTAAATTCCCCTTTCAATCTGAGATATTAGGAACAAGATGCTTGCAAGAATTAGTTAATTCATGAAATCAAATCTAGGTTTAGGGTAATAACTATGAGTTAAAATAGGTAATCAATATAGACTTTCACAATAAGGCAATTTGAGCACCCACCTCAATCTTTATGTTCAAATGTTTTTGGTTGTCGTTCTTCAATCAATGTTTGGACTCTCTGCATTGTTTACATATTTTCACCATGAAACAAGAGAAAGATAATAAAGATTTACAACCACATTTTCAAGAACATTATTGAACTGAGTTTACCTTAAGAGAATTGTCAACTTCCTCTAGCTTTTGTAGTATTCCAAATTCACCAACAGGAGAGAGAATATCAGGCCTAATGGATTTCAAGGGAGACATCTGCCATTTACCAAGGGATAAACAATGACACATACTAAACATTTTAGTACACTGTTGAGAAAATATATGATGCATACCGGTGCAGCATATGATTGGACATTTCTTGAAGAACTGGCATCTTCCAAGGTTGAAACTTGCCTAGAGAAAGTTTGATTTCGAATTTCTGAAAGTCGCATCAGCACAAACTGGACAAAATCATTAACAAACATGATACAACTTTCAAGTTTCAACATCTAATCAACAACAAATGGCGTTTAATCTAAGGATACCTTTTTGAATGCTCGAGGATCGACAATGCCTTCAATTTGAACATTATCACTTGGAGGCCTTCTTACACCAACATTCTCAATTCTAATGGAGTAGACACCATAACGAGACTGCAGATACCCTGAGTATGATGATTTTTAGAATCAACAAGAAAGATAATCCAGAAGGTCATGTAAAGATAATGGAAGTCTGATTAATCAACTTAGTGTTAGATAAGAACATATTAACATACCCTGTTCAATCACAACATCAGCAACAGAAGGTAACAGAACATGTTTCTCTTTCTTCAAGACCCCAAAACATGGAAATGGAACTGGCTTAGTTACCTGTGTCATAAAAATCATCACAATCACTACTTGTTTGCCATTAATCGAAAAGACAGCGTACATGTTGATGAAATTTAATTACTTTGTAGACGATGGAATTGGGGGTGACATAGAGCTTTCGTGATTGTATCATACGCCGGAGTATGTATCGACGAACGGGAATGTACAGGAACATGAGCAAGCCGAAACCCCATGCCAAAATCAATAGCAACGAATAAAGTATCCACTGTGTCGTCTTAAGCTTTATGAAATCATCCTCAGCTTCTTCGAAGCTTGCAGAATATAGTATGGGCTCATCGTCATCTTCACCATCGTTAGCTTCACGCGTGTCGGACAACAACCCTTTCTCCAGATGATCAATCTCACCAATCCCACCGTTTTGTGATTCCATCTGAAGTGATGAAAACCCTAAAATCATTAACTTGTAAATAGAATTTCTGTTGATAGATGGAATACACGAATCGAATTGATGAACAAGTACCTACCAATGTGATTATTATCAGAACAGGGATGCAATGGAATCACTGATTTTGTTTCTCGTTTGGTTTGGATGAACTCATATCAGAAATTTTCTAAGTTACAGGGGGTAATAATGTAATAGTTAAAAGTTGGAGGGATAGTAATGTAGTTAAATAAAGTCAGGGGTTGTTGGTGCACTTTAAGCAACGAAATTTCCGAATGTTGTCGTCACTCAATGGTACGCAAAAGGGTTTTATGGAATAAACTATAAACCCTAGTTTAGTAGAAGCAGCAACGAGATACGAAATTAGCTATGGAGGACGGGAAGATGAAGAAGAATAGCATTGGGCAACCAAAGGAGATTTTCGCTTCCTGTGATTTCTCTAGTCTTGGGCTTCACCCTGCCTTATGTGACCAGCTTCGAGGTATGTCTTAGCATATCTTCATAAGAACACATCATATGCGTCCTTTCCAATTTCCATCTACAATTACAATGAAACGAGTAAGGATTACGATAGTTCCACTAGGGAAAAAGGATGAATCTTGCGACTTGTACTCCCTCTTTCCCACGATTGGATCGATTTTGTAATCGTTTGAAAGATGTATGATGCTTTTCAGCTCACCTTTATTCTGATTTGAATTGCTTGCTTGCATTGACAGACAGGATGGGCTATCAAGCTCCGACATTAGTTCAAGCACAAGCTATTCCAGTTATTCTCTCAGGAAGACATGTGTAATTTCCTTCCCAATCTGTCTGTCTAAATCTCTCATTTCTTCGTTTTTTTTGTCCATCTCTTTAATTTGTGGAATGAACAATTACAGGCTCGTTAATGCAGCTACAGGCACAGGCAAAACTGTAACATACCTTGCTCCTGTCATTCATCAGTTGCAAAAGTGTGATCCTAGGATTCAACGATCTGATGGTACTTTTGGTATGTGCTCTTGGTCTCCATATGAATTATTGTTCCATCCATTCATGTTCTTATCCTTTTAGTTGGTAGGAAGAACTCCATATATAGTTCTAATATGATCCACCGTTATCTTGTTAAACAGAAACATAGAAGTTCATGTTTCAGTGTTTTAATAGGTGCTAACTTAAATTCAACTTTGATAACAGCATTGGTGCTTGTACCAACACACGAGCTCTGCATGCAGGTATATGAAAATCTACAGAAGTTATTGCACCGATTCCATTGGATTGTTCCAGGTTATATAATGGGTGGTGAAAACAGGTCAAAAGAGAAAGCCAGGTTGCGTAAAGGTAACAACTTTTTCACTACTTATTTCATCAAGATTTTAAAAAGACCAAAGTATTTCCCTTTCAGTTGTCAACAATTATAACATAAACGTGATCATTTGTGTACAGGAATATCTATTCTTGTTGCAACTCCAGGACGTTTACTGGACCATTTAAAGCACACAACATCATTTGTTCATAAGAATTTGCGCTGGATAATATTCGATGAGGCAGACAGGTTTGATTTCTTAAATCCCATTTGGGAAACTGTATTTCTTTTCCACATGTTTGATCTTTATTCACAATCCATATGCAGGATTCTTGAACTAGGATTTGGTAAAGAGATAGAAGAGATACTTGATATTTTGGGTTCAAAAGGCAAAGATACTAAAGTTGTGAGACAAAATTTGCTCTTGTCAGCCACCTTAAATGAAAAAGTCAACCATCTTGCAAACATCAGTTTGGAAGATCCAGTTATGATTGGTCTTGATGACAAAAAGATTCAACCATCTAGTAAGCAAGCTACATCATTGATTTCTGATGCGATTGAAAGACTAGAGAATTCTGGGAAAGTATCAGTTGCTTCAAGTGAGGAATATAATCTTCCAGCTCAACTGAATCAGAGATACGTCAAAGGTAATTAAATAAAAAAAAATACTTTCATAGTTTCATAAGCTTCAATTGCATCGTTCTTATAGTTTACTCATATCCAGTACCTTGTGGCTCTCGTCTTGTGGTGCTTCTTTCCATTCTAAAGAATCTATTCACTGGAGAACCTTCTCAAAAGGTAAAGCCATCCTTAAAAAGGTAATGATGTTTGTCTGGATAAAGAACTGTATACATAAAGACTCTTTCTTTTGTGATTTCAGATTGTGGTATTCTTCTCAACATGTGATGCAGTCGATTTCCATCATGCACTTTTAAGTCAATTTCACGGATTATCAAATTCACAAACAGAAACAGAAAAGAAAGATCTATTTGTGCAATGTAACATTTTAAGATTACATGGAAACATGAAGCATGAAGATCGAGTCAAAACTTTCAATTCTTTCAAAACAGAAAAATCAGCTCTTTTATTATCAACAGATGTTTCTGCAAGAGGTCTAGATTTTCCAAAAGTCCGTTGCATTATTCAGTATGATTCCCCTGGTGAAGCAACTGAATATGTTCATAGAGTTGGAAGAACTGCTCGATTAGGTGAAAAAGGGGATTCCTTGTTGTTTCTTCAACCAATTGAAGTTGATTATCTACAAGAGCTTAAAAAACATGGTGTAATGTTAACAGAATATCCTCTCCTCAAACTTTTAGATGGTTTTCCTTTACATGGTTTAAATTTAAAACACCATCACCATGTGAAAAAGTTTGTTTCAATCGAGATGCATCCATGGGTGGTTTCCTTGCAGAGGTCCCTTGAATCCTTCATCTTTAAGGAGGTATGATTTCATTTCAACAATCTTGTTTTAATTCTTTGTTAAATTACGTTTTTGGTCCTTGAGTTTTAATATATATTTTTTTGGGTAATTAATGCAGGGGAAGATGAAGAAATTAGGGCAGAATGCGTTTTGTTCGTGGGTGAGAGCATACAGTGCGCATCGTGGGGAGTTGAAGAGTATATTTATGGTGAAGAAGCTTCACTTGGGACACGTGGCAAGAAGTTTTGGGCTCAAGGAACAGCCTTCTTTGGTGGGTAGATCTGTCCAGAAGAAGCATACGGAAAAAAGGAAAAGGGACGAGAAAACGAAAACACAGAAGAGAGGGGGTTTGGATTTGAAGAAGAAGAGAAAGACACTAACTGATTATGATTGAGACACGTGGCACTTTGTGACAGGTGAGATTGAGTTAGCAAGAAAAGATGTAAAATGGACCCAAATTTTGGTTTTTTAATTTTAATTTTATAAAATAGAGTGGAAGTTAATGAGAATCTGTGAATGGGTCCAGGGAGAAAAGGGTAAATGTAGCTTTATGTATTGGCTGGCTATGTGGGTGGTATGTCATTGATGTGATGATGATGATGATGATGATGATGATGATGATGTGATGTGATGTGATGATGATGTTGAAAGTACGAATGACCTCGCTTTTATTAGCCTAATCCTCTCGAATGGCCCATTGCTTTAAGAAAAATATGTGACTTTAGTTATGCCACATATAGGTGCACAACCTGATTTTTTTTCTTCCAGATTCAGATCGGTACTAAAATCGAATCGGATCATGGTCAACGAAAGTCAAACCAGATTATGTTTGTTACCATTTAATCAATTAAATGATTAAATGATGTATTAGGTATGTATTCTTTTTTAATGTTTTAGATTATTTATTCTTAACTGAATGGTTAATCGATTGATAGAAATATATTTTTTATGTTTTAAAATGTTTTTGGTAGGATCTTACAGTTTAATTCAATCTTAGGATCACAATCTTGTAAAATGGAAATCAATCATATATAAGGTCCCGATCTTGACAATCTTGATTGCTAGAACTATAAATATCATGTAACTTTTTCTTAAAAGTTTATTTTATATCTTTCAATATATTAAAGTCCATTTTGCACAATCAAGTTAATGATGCGTGTAACACCGACAATGAAAAAATATCATCACAAACCGGTTTATATAGTATTTATAATAATAATTGTCCACCTGTGACGGTATATATTCGATATATTATCAAAGATATAGAAAAACCTTTGTTTTGTAATTTATATGTTTTTATTATGTAATATAAAAATTTATCTATATTTCCTAGGTGTGAATATCGATACAATTCAAATATAATTGTTAACTTCTTCATTTGTAAGTATGAGGATTACCCAATGAATGGTAAACAAAGGAAAGAACCCGCATAACCATGTAGACTAGTACAAACATCAAAAGCTAATTTATTCCTAATCCAATTAAAAATTGTTTTTCCGTAACTAAACGCAACCTTAATTTTTCCAAATCATTAGGTTTCATTTTGTAGGCAAAACTTTGATAATCGTTAAATTGTTTGACAAAACTCCAATACCAATGGAAAATTGTGATTAAGAATATTCGGATGCCATTGGTTGTACAAAGCATTAAAGAAAACTACCGAGTAGTGAGTGAGATTGCGTTTGAGTAGTGTGATTAAACCAACACATCTTTTTACCTATCTATACTAACAAATGAGGGGAAAATGGTCATTTAGACTCCCCTTTAGAAGAAAAAATAAAATAAAAAACTTCAAGCAACTATATCACGCAAACCGGTTTCTGCCAAACCAATGGCCATATTCTCAACTGGTTCAGACACCTGACCGGTTTCTTTTTCGGATCAGATTGGATCCTAGAGGGGATTCAGATTCCAAACCTATTTTTCATGTACCTCAATGTATGTATAATGTAAGGAGCTTGATCCCTATTAGAAATAAATCTCTCATATTGCGACTATTAGAATTCAAAGATTTGATATTTACTTCTAGTGTCTATCATCACGAAGTAACTGCGTTATAATCAAAATAGTGATAATTATAAAATTAATTACGATTTTTTTAGTCAAAAGATTTTGTATTAAACAAGTAAGTCGGTCAATTAATTAGGGTTCCGTACGATTGCGAATTGGTAGGGTAGGGTACGCAATTATTTATTTATTGATTTTTGATTTGTGTGTATATTGTGATGGACATTAATAAAAGAAAGAGTAAATTACACGAATGGTCCCTATGGTTTAGGGTAATTTGCGTGTTTGGTCCCTAACTTATTTGTTTAACTCGGAAGGTCTCTACTGTTTGTTTTTGTTACGCGTTTGGTCTCCGTCTTACCTAAAAAGACTATTTTCCCTTGATTTTTTAATTTATTTAAATAAACACACCCCCAACCCCACCCCCTCGTCTTACCTTACTTACCCAACCATTTTTTCCTATTTAAATAATAGATTTTTTTAAGTAAGACATGTACCAATCGTGTAACAAAAACAAACAATAGGGACCAAGTGCATAACAAAAACAAATAGTATGAACCTTCTGAATTAAAAAAATAAGTTAGGGACCAAACATGCAAATTACCTCAAACCATAGGAACCATTCGTGTAATTTACTCTAAAAGAAAAGCAGGAGGAGACGTGTGGTGGGGGTGAGGGTGGATCATGGATGTGTCTATCTCCAATACATCTCTTCCTTGTTTCATCGTCATTAGTTAACTAACTACAATTTTATTAGCATGTAAAAGCAATGGTAAACCATAATTTAATGAATTAAAAACAAGATCTATCGTTTATCTATATTAAAAAACCTTACTTGCTCTTGAAAAGAAATTTTATTTGTTTTTGAGGTTTTATTTTATCTTTCTTTTTGTCTAAGAATCATTCAATTCATTCTTTTTACTTATCATTCTATTCATTAGATCAAAATATATGTCAAAATTAAAAAAATGAAATTACGATAACATTAATGGTATCCACATGCCATAATCTTATATGAATAGGAATATAAATAGAAAGAAAAAATAAAAAAATATTTATTTTTTCAGTTAATAATTACCATTAATTCCTAAGAAATAATTGATTAGTATTTTGTATGCAAGAATGTGTTTGCAATATCCTTACACTTGCTTGTCGAGGGTTACTATTATGTTTTCCTTTGACACAAAATTTCTTATATCCTCCTCCTAATAAATCAAAAATCTTTTTGACATATGTCTTCTTTTCCTTCATTTGGACACATGACATTTTCTAGAAATTTTGAATTTTCTATTTTCCACTTGTCATTTTATTGTATTTTTCAATTTATTAAATTAAAATTCTATATTTAATATGTAAAGTAATATATATGTAATGTATTTATTAGAAGAGGTTTATATATGTAATGTATTCAATGTATTAAAGCCTTATTAATTTTAATAATTCAAAAATTTTCTCTTTTTTCTTATAAATTCAAACTTTTGAAATTGTTGAAATTTTATATTTAATTTTCTTTTAAATAAACTCATGTAATACATGAGGCTCACACCTAGTTATCAATTATTTGAGAATATACGAGCTCACATAAAAAAGAAAATTTAAATAAGATAAAATAAAAAAAATTTCATATTATAAATTATCTATGAATATACGAGGTCACATGAAAAACAAAATATAAATGAGACGAAATAAATAATATAATTGATATGATATAAACTTATATTTACCAACAATAATAAGTAAATAAATGATTATTTTTTATTTATTAACTAAAATAAATTTAAATAAATAGAAATTTAGTTATTAAATTAAGCAATATTTTATTTAATAATGCCTATGAGTTGAGCTGATAAACTCCTTGGCTTGAAAAAGGCTTTGAAGAATAGTGAAAGTTAATTTTTCATTAAAAGAAATACGACAATTATTTGGTTGGGTCATTATCTTTTCATCTTATTTACGTTTAAATAATTTTTATTTTTTCTGTTTACATTTGATTATTTAATTTGTGTGTTCACATATTACCATTGTTATCTGTTATCTCATGTGACAATGATAACATATTTAACAAGTTAAATAATCAAATGTATAAAAAAAAATTGCCTAAATGTGAACATTTTTTTTTATAAATTTCTTAAAATTTTAATTCTTACAACATTTTTATGATATTTTTTCTTATAGGTTTATCTAATAAAATATTTTAAACTTTGCTTATACTTTTTCTAATTTTTTTTATACTTTCATATAATTTTCATATATATGCTTTTAAACCAAATATTTTCTAAATGTTTAAAATTTCTTTACAAGTTTCTAATTTTTATTTTTTTTTATATTTTCATACAATTTTTTTTATAACTTTTATACAGTTATTTCTAAACTTTTTTTACAGTATTTTTAAAGTATTTAATAGATTTTGTATGACAATTATTATTTTTTTATAACATTTTAAAATGCTTTCGTTAAATACTAGTTTAGAATATTGTATTAAAAAAATTAAAAAGTTTACAAATATCTAGTTAAAAATATAAAAAAGTTGTAATAATTTTAAAACATTTACATTATATAGATTTTTTTTGTTTTTTTTATTTGCTACATAATATTTTCTTTTTATTTTTTTTAAATGACCTTCCATACTTATTATTAAATATTCAATTTATTTAATTTATTTAATTTTATTGTTAGATAATATTTTCTTTAAAAATAATACATATGCTTAAAAACAAAAGAAAAAAAATAAGAGGCTATATATAATATTTCACAAAAAACATATTTATTAATTAAAAAATAAAGTTTAAAATTGATCGATATTTAAATAAATAGAAAACTAGTTATTAAATTAGGCAATATTTTATTTAATAATGCCGATGAATTGAGTTGATAAACTCCTTGGCTTGAAAAAGGCTTTGAAGAATAGTGAAAGCTAATTTTTCATTAAAAGAAATACGACAAATATTTGGTTCGGTAATTGTCTTTTCATTTTGTTCACGTTTAAATAATTTTTATTTTTTCTGTTTACATTTGATTATTTAATTTGTTACATGTGTTCACATATTACCATTGTTATCTATTATCTCATGTGACAATGGTAACATTTGAACATATTTAACAAGTTAAATAATTAAATGTAAAAATTGCCTAAATGTGAACATTTTGTTTTTTATAAATTTTCTTAAGATTTTAATTTCTTACAACATTTTTATGATATTTTTTCTTATAGGTTTATCTAATAAAATATTTTAAACTTTGCTTATACTTTTTCTAATTTTTTTATACTTTCATATAATTTTCATATATATGCTTTTTAAACCAAATATTTTCTAAGTGTTTAAAATTTCTTTACAAGTTTCTAATTTTTAATTTTTTTTTTACATTTTCTTACATTTTTTTTATAACTTTTATACAATTATTTCTAAACTTTCTTTTACAGCATTTTTAAAGTATTTCATAGATTTTGTGTGACAATTAATACTTTTTATAACATTTTAAAATACTTTCGTTAAATACTAGTTTAAAACATTATATTAAGAAAATTAAAAAGT